GGGGGGGGTAGGAGAGGGTTTTTGGAATTTTAAACACGGGGAAAAGAGCTTTTCCTAAAGAAAAAGAGATGAGACTCCAGTAGCATATCCTGGAAATCTTTAATACCCAAAGCATGTTTGACATGTGGTAGAGTGTGTTGCTAACCATTTAGCCAGAAATCCAGAGTCTGGACCTGCAAGATTTACCAGTTCACTTCGTTAAGCCTTGGTTTTCTTCATTCCAAAATGAAAGGCTTGGACAAGAGTCATTAGGTCTTTGTTGAGCATTTACTACACCCAGAGTGGGCGTGCACTGTGCTGGGAGCCAAACTCGGGACAGCAGACCTTTAGATTCCCTTCCAGGCCAAAGACTAGGAATTCTTATCTTTCTCAACGGATGATAATAAATTAGCATTTCTGATCACAGATATTCAAAAATAGCACTGTGAATGTGATAGAGTAACAAGGGAACACTCACAACAAAAACAGTTTCCCAGGGGGGCCATGAACACTTGTCATTTGTTACAGAAGCAGAGGCGTTAGTCTTTAGCACAAATCCGGTGTCGGCAAACTCACTATGGTGCCAGGAGGAAACCGAAGAGCAGGGTAATGCTGACGATGGCTATTTTTGACGATGGCTATTTTTCAATCATCTTGCCTTTACACTGCCGCAGGAAAGCCATCACGGGGCTGGGATGGAATAGCATGTGTCTTATTAAAGGATTCTAGGCATTTTTGTCTAATTCCTTTCCCAGTAATAATACTAATACTTACTGGGCCTTACTATGTGCCCAATATGCTAAGTGCTATAGTCACCCTAGTACAATAGTTAATCCCAGTGAAAAAGGGGATAGCACCATGATTATCCTGATCCTACACTAGAAGAAACTGAGATTCAGAAAGGTTAAAGAATTTATCCAAAGTCAGTTAGGCAGTAGAGCGCCAGAGCCAGAGCTCTCTGGCTTCTCGCATTCTTCATCCTGGTGCTGGTTAAACCTACTGTGCTCCGTGACCATAGACTGAACGCTCAGTCCATTCTGGGAAAATGTCACATCACCGGGGACAACTAGAACTGGTTGGAATGTAGGAAGAGGTTATGTGGAAACCACTACTGCTGACCGGGGGTGGAGAGAGAGAGAGAGAGAGAAACAGAAAACAAAACATCAACAACAAAAATCTTCACAGCACACGTTCTGCAAAGGTCAGTTGCATGAATCAAAAGAACAGGCTTCCTAAATCAGTAAGCAAGAGAAAGGCTGGGAAAAACAGAAGTCTAAGCGTGACATCTCCAGGTGCAATACAATGACTGTTGACAGGGAAGTGAAGGGACATAAACCATTAACTACATGTGGGCAGCCAACGTAATACAGGCCCATTCACAAAGCACAGTAACCGCTGCTCAAGAAAGGGGTCGTTTACATTGGAAATTAAAAGTTGACATTTATAAATTGAAAAATTAATGTACATGCTTAATAATAGTATTATACATGACCAAAAATTCATATTGTCATTGAAGCTCAAGATGTTGCAAGGACGTCTGTTTTGTTTTTATGAGATCACGCAGCCTCCTTTGAGCTCCTTGAAGGGGTTTTTGTCTTCTGGGATGCCCTTTACTAGCGGATCCTCCCCGGACCTTGCTTCAACATAATCCCTGACCTCTTCGCAGCACCTGGATACCTGAAAGGAAAGGGGAAAGAGACGACTCGTTTGGTTTAATATACAGCACCGCAGAGCGCAAGAATGTATTTATTATACTAATTTCTTTGTGTGCTACCTTTCTAATGGGATTCTGCTTTCTGCCCACGCTTATGTGCTTTTTTAGGAGAGAAGGGGAAATAGCAGCTCCCTCCCCCGTCCCCCTGGATATCTCCTGGCAAAGGACAAGCAGCTGGCCACACTCCAGCTAAGGGTTCCCAGCAGACACAGGGATCAGGACACAGCTGGCAACACAAGGCAAGAATGTCACCAGAGGGAACATTAATGACATGTTTTTCCTCCTTCCAAAAAATGTGGCCTGCAAAGGTGGGAGGGAACGAATAATTGTGAAATTCCAGGCTTATCACCACTGCTGGAATCTCAGAAGTATACATATAATATCATTTTAAAGCTATCTACAATGATCGATCATGATAGTGTACTTGAAGGTGAGCTCCAAGGGGTCAGCGGCCTTTGTCTGATTCATTCACATGCATCCCAGGCATGCAGAAGAGAGCCTGCGTTTATTTGGTGCCCAGTAAATAAATATTCACTGAACCGAATCCTTTGTTTTGTTTATGAGCTCGCTTCTCACTCATCTGCACCATTATAGCAATAACTCCGTGAAGAATCAGCCTTTAGTATTTTAATGCACTCAGCCAGAGCCTGCTAATGTACCAGTTAACCTTTTAGAGAGAGGCAATGTTCTGTACATATATACATATAAGTGTGTGTGTGTGTGTACATTGAAAGGCACACATGGGAACAAAGTATTCATACTTCTAAACTTTAAACTTGGTTTATTTTCACTTAATATATCATTCATAACATTAACAATTAGCACACAAAAACTTTTTTTGGCAATCCATCAGGTGGCCATTCCATAAGTTATATAACCAATTTATTGTTTTGTTTTTTAATAAAATCTTTATGCCAATTTCGAATGCAAATTCCAAACAACATTAGTCATAAGATTACAACTCTGTTAAATAATATGTAAACTCATTATTTACATATTAGAACAAATCATTTCTAACTGGGGCAAGGCATCAGTTAGGTGGCTCCTTCATAGGATGAAACGTGGACTTTGTAAACACTTTTGAAATATACAGTCATTTAGGTTCACTTGTTTCCTTCCTCAAAATTCAAAACTGAGATTTAAATTCGCTCTTTCCTCCTCCAAGCACCAGTTCTTTGGCCCCAACCAGAAGTCAGGACAGAGGTTTAAATTGCTGTCCTAATGTAGGAGTTTGACTGTGTCTGGCTAGTATCTCAGGACAAAGAGCAATGAATTACCTAAAGTCCTAGGTGACTGTATGTGTTTAAAGTGATCTCAGTGAGGCTTTTTATCAGCATATGTGGCTTAATTCAGGGTGAATGGTATGGCGGAAAGCATCAACATTGGATTCAGGCCACTCCAGGTTTGAATTGTGGCTCTGCCCACTGGCCAGCTAGGTATCTTAGTCCAGATTTAGATACTTCATCTTTGAAACAGCAAGAGCAACACTGGCTGCATTAAGTGCCTGGCATACAAAGATACTCAAGCTGTAGCTATTTTTAGCTATTACTCCAAAGATTATCTTAATCATTGCAAATCTGTCAGCTTAGAAACTGGATGCAGAGTTGTCTTACTCTGATATTACTACAACCTTGACCACAAAATAGATTGAGGCATATTATGGGCCAGCCTGGTTCATAAATATTAACAGTAATTTTAAAAGTCATAATGGTAGAAAGTACTTGCTACATACTAGGCATTGCACTCAGAGCTTTGTATATATTATCCCACTTATTCCTCCCAATTACTGTCTGCATTTGATGTTGTTACTATACCCATTTTACAGAAGAAGAAACAGAGGCACAGGTAAGTTAGGTAACTTAGGGGAGTGTTACACAGGGAGAAAGCTGAACCAGAGATATGGTTCCAGAGCCTACCCACTTAGCTGTATGGTAATGATGCCGTGTCACCCTGTGTCGGAGCTGCGGGTTCAGGACCCAGAAGTTCCGTGGTGTGTGTGTGTGTGTGTGTGTGTGTGTGTGTGTAGTTTTGGTAGTCTAAGATTAAATGACTTTGACTTCTAAGAGCAAGGAGACGTTGAATAATAGAAAAAGGAACCTAAAACTTGACAGATGGCAATGTATGTAATGTTTACTCAAAGTAAAAATTCCTAGGTGAACTTGCTACGGGAGAATGATAAATATGAAGACAGCCAAATTGACTACAAAGCCACAATCCAGAGTATATAAATAATAAACAGCTTGTCGATGTTTCACGTAAAAAAGAAAATATAGCTTTCCTTTCCTCCAAAATTATTTATATATATATA